TTATTTTTGAGCATTTTCTATAAGTATTGTCAGGTGTCCCTGACACAATCCTTCTTTGAGGGCTTACTCTTAAAAAATACCTTTGCAAAATAAATCATTTTAAAAAAATAACAGTTCTGTAAGTATTGTGAATAGTAATATTGCTATGGTCTCAATGTTTGTGTCCCCCACAAAATGTATATGTTGAAATCCCAACATCCAGAGGTGATGATATTAAGAGGTGGGTCCTTTGGGAGTAGACAAAACCATGAAGGTGGAGCCCTCATGAGAAGTATTAGTGTCCTTACAAAAGAGAATGGAGAAAGATTCCTCACTCCTTTTGCCATGTAAGTTAATAGTAAGCCGCCCTCACCAGACATGGAATCTGCTGGTGCATTGATCTGGGACTTTTAGCTTCTAGAGCTGTGAGAAATAAATTTCTGCTGTTCATATGTCACCCAGTCTATAGTATTTTGTTATAGCTGCCTGAAGTGCCTACCAATCTGGTGTCTGATGACGACCTGCTTCCTTGTTTGCAAATGGGCATCTTCTCACTGGATACTTATGTGAGGAAGAGAGAAGTGAATCACTTTTGTGTTTCTTCTTATAATGGCGCTGATTCCATTACATGAGAGTTTTATCCTCATGACCTCACCTCTTGAAGTTCCCACTTCCTAAAACCATCACTTTGGTGATTAGGATTTCAACACATCAATTTGAGGAAAATATACAAACATTCAGTCTATAATATCAGACATTTCCAAAGGCTGTGAATTGTGTATTTTATTCATCTGCAGACATACTTTTACATCAAATATTCAAGTTGCTGGGAAAAATTAATAAATAAAGGAATATTGTTTAAAAATATTTTTTATTTAACTTGAGATATCCAAAATAGTATCTTTTAACATGTAATCAATAAATAAAAATGTAAATAAGGTATCTGATGGCCATCTTTTGAACTAAATTTTTGAAATATTTTCTGAAATCTTATTAACATTTTACACTTAACAGCAAATCTTTATTTGGTCCAGCTGCATTTCAAAAGCTTGATAATAACATGTGGCTATTGGTTTTTATATTCAACATCAGAGTAATAAAGTGTTTTCATGACCTTTATTTAAAAAAGAAATAAACATAGTAGAATGATTGTTTAAATGCTGCTGCTTCTTGCATTAGACAAAAATAGGTCTTGACTAGATGGCTTACAATATGGAGGCCATCTGTTTTCGAGTAATTATGCGATCCTATGATCAAGTTACAGGAATCATTTGACAAGAGAAATGTTCATACTTAATAAGTAAATATTAACTTTTCTTGCTACTTTTTGTTTAGAAAATTTGCCTGTCTTAAAGTACTGTAAATGTCACAGTCTTCTAGTAGTGTATTTTTGTTGTTGTTTTATATGGAGTTTATTTTTAAATAAATGTTGGCTTAGACAAAATTTTAATGGCTAACAAATTAACCATTTTTATTACTGTGAAATTCACAGAAATAACTGTTTTAAAGTATACAATTCAGTGGCATTTAGCACATTCACACTGTTGTGCAGCTATAAGGCCTATCTAGTTACAAAACATTTCATCACCCACACAAAAAATCCTACACTTTCTGAACTCATACTTCCTATTCCTCACCATCACCAGCCCTTCATAACCACTAATAGGCTTTCCGTTTTTGTGGAAGCGCTTATTCTGCATATTTCAAATAAATTTAATCATATAATATATGACCTTTTTTCTGGTTTCCTTCACTCAGCATAATATTTTCCTTTTGAGTTTCATCAATAATATTACATGCCTCAGAACTTCATTTTTATTTATGGTTGAATAATAAATGATTGCGTGTTTACCACACTTTCAGTCTTCATTTATTCATTTTGGGCCACTGGTGGTGTTTTTACCATTTGGGTTATTGTGAATATTAGAATACAAAAAATTTTGTATGAATGTTCATAGTACATTCATACAAAATTATTTCTTTAAGTTTTGATTGAAAACTATTTGGACATATAGCTAGCAGTAGAATTTCTAGGTCATGTGATAATTTTATATATAACTTTTCTAGGAACCACAAAACTTCCACAGCAGTTGGTTTCTTTTATTCTCACCAGGAATGTAAGAGGTTTCTAATTTCTCCACATCCTTGCCAATACTTATTTTCTGTTTTATTTTTGTTTTGGTTTTATTATAACTTTCTTAGTATATGTGAAGCTATGTCTTAATGCAGTTCTGCTTTGCATTTTCCTAATGGCTAATGATGTTAAGTATCTTTTCATGCATTTGTGAGCTATTTGTATATCTTCTTCAGTGAAATCTCTATTAAAGTCGTTTTTATTTTTTAAGAAATTGGACTTTTTTTGTTGACTTGTAAAAGTGTTTTATATATTCTGGATAATAGACTCTTGTCAGCTATGTGACTTGCAAATATCATCTCCCATTTGTACACTTTTTGTTTTCTTAATGTCCTTTGATGTACAAATATTTTTAGGTTATAAAGTTCAGTCTATCTAATTTTCATTCGTTGTTCATGCTTTTGGTGTCATATCTAAGAATCCATTGCCAAATGAAAGGTAATGAAGATTTATCCGTATGTTTTCTTCTAATATTGTTATAATTTTATCTCATATTTAGGTCCTTGTCACATTTTTAGTTAATTTCTATATGAGATAAAAATCAAGCTTCATTATTTTGTGTATGGATATACAGTTTTCCCAATACTCTTTGTTGAAGAAACCATTTTTTTCCTGTTATATCTTGTTGGCATCCTTGTTTTAAAGGACCTTAAATTGTTTTAGAGTCAACTGTTTATTTCCACATGTTTGTAAACAATTCTGTTTTCTTTCTGTTATTGATTTCTCACTTCATTCATCATGTCAGATGCACTGTATGATTTTAGTCTTTTAACATGTACTGAGGGTTTTCTTGTGGCCTGGCATACATTTTGTCATGTTCACTTGAAAAGAGAGTATGTTTTGTTTTTGGGTGGGATATTCCATATATCTCTTTTAGGTTTGGTTGGTTTATAACATTGATGAAGTGCTCTATTTAACACCAAGAAAATAGTTTTAAAAAATCTTGTTTTCTACACCTAAAAAACCCTATTTTTCTACAATAATAATAAAATAAAACAATAATGTCTTTAAGGATGTTAAATGTTGGCCCCCATTCTCTTCTGGCTTGTAGGATTTCTGCTGAGAGATCCGCTGTGCGTCTGATGGGCTTCTCCTTGTGGGTAACCTGACCTTTCTCTCTGGCCGCCCTTAGCATTTTTTCCTTCATTTCAACCCTGATGAATCTGACAATCATGTGCCTTGGGGTTGCTCTTCTTGAGGAATATCTTTGTGGTGTTCTCTGTATTTCCTGGGTTTGAATGTTGACTTGCCTTGCTAGGTTTGGGAAGCTCTCTTGGATAATATCCTGAAGAGTGTTTTCAGCTTAGATTCATTCTCCCCGTACATTCAGGTATACAGATCAAGCGTAGATTAGGTATTTTCACATAATCCCATATGTCGTTTTGTTCATTTCTTTTCACTCTTTTTTTTCTCTAATCTTCTCTTCTCAATTTATTTCATTGAGTTGATCTTCGATCTCTGATATTCTTTCTTCTGCTTGATCAATTTGGCTACTGAAACTTGTATATGTTTCACGAAGTTCTCCTGTTGTGTTTTTCAGCTCCATGAAGTCATTTATGTTCTTCTCTAAGCTGGTTATTCTAATTAGCATTTTGTCTAACATTTTTTCAAGGTTTTTAGTTTTTTGCATTATGTTAGAACATGTTCCTTTACCTCAGAGAAGTTTGTTATTACCTACCTTCTGAAGCCTGCTTCAGTCAATTTGTCAAACTGATTTTCCATCCTGTTTTGTTCCCTTGATGGTGAGAGTTGTATTCCCTTGGAGGAAGAAGTGGGTTCTGGTGTCTGATGGTTTCATCATTTTTGTGCTGGTTTCTTCCCATTTTCTGGATTTAGCTACCTTTGATCTTTGAAGTTGTTGCCTAGCCATGTGCAGAAAGCTGAAACTGGACCCCTTCCTTACACCTTACACTAAAATTAACTACAGGTGAATTAAAGATTTAAACATAAGACCTAACATGGTAATAACCCTAGAAGAAAACCTAGGCATAACCATTCAGGACATAGGCATAGGCAAGGAATTCATGACTAAAACACCAAAAGCAATTGCAACAAAAGCCAAAATAGACAAATGGGATCTAATTAAACTTAAGACTTTCTGCACAGCAAAAGAAACAATCATCAGAGTAAACCTGCAACCAACAGATTGGGAAAATATTTTTGCAATCTACCCATCTGACAAAGGGCTAATATCCAGAATCGACAAAGAACTAAAGGTGATTTACAAGAAAAAAAAATCCATCCAAAATTGGATGAAGGATATGAACAGCCACTTTTCAAAAGAAGACATTTATGAGGCCAAAAAACACATGAAAAAGTGCTCATCATCACTGGTCATTAGAGAAATGCAAATCAAAACCACATTGAGATACCATCTCATACCAGGTAGAGTGGATCATTAAAAAAAATCACGGACAGCAGATGCTGGAGAGGATGTGGAGAAATAGGAACATTTTTACACTGTTGGTGGGAGTGTAAATTAGTTCATCCATTGTGGAAGACAGTGCAGTGATTTCTCAGGCATCTAGAAATAGAAATACCATTTGACCCAGGAATCCCATTACTGGGTATATACCCAAAAGATTACAAATCATTCTGTTACAAAGGTGCATGCACACCTATGTTTATTGAGGCACTGTTAACAATAGTGAAGACTTGGAACCAACCCAAATGCCCATCAGTGTTACACTAGACAAAGAAAATGTGGCACATACACACCATGGAATACTATGCAGCCATCAAAAAGGATGAGTTCAGGTCCTTTGCAAGGATATGGATGAAGCTGGAAACCATCATTCTCAGCAAACTAACACAAGAACCAAAAACCAAACACTGCATGTTCTCACTCAGAACACATGGAGACAGGGAGGGGAGGATTATATGCCAGGGCCTGTTGGGGATTGGGCTGTCATGGGAGGGATAGCATTAGGAGAAATACCTAATGTAGATGACGAATTCATGGGTGCAGCAAACCACCATGGTACATTTAACCTATGTAACAAACCTTCACGTTATGCACATGTACCCCAGAACTTATATATATTTAGACTAAATTAAATTAAAATCTAGGCAAGACACAGTGTAAGTCCAGAACTTTTGGGAGTCAAGGCAGGGGGATCACTTGAGCCCATGAGTTCAAGCCCAGCATGGGCAACATAGAAAGAACCCTACTAAAATAATATACAATTAAATTAAATTTGAATATTTTGTGATGCAAAATACTATGTTGAGAGAACAAAAATACAAATTCCAGAGTGGAAAAATAATTTGGAAACTACATGTCTGATAAAAGGCTATTGTCTAAAATATATTAAGAACACTGAAAACTCAGTAGTGTTTTATTTTTTAAAGAAATGATCCACTTACAAAACAGATATAACCAAAAAAAAAAAAAAACTTGAAGAGAAATTTAACTGGAGACAATTTTGGCAATGGGAAACAAGCACATGAAAAGATGTTTAACACCATTAGCTGTTATGGAAATGCAAATTGAAAACACAATGATATATCACTACACATTTTTGTGAATGGCTAAAATTTAAAAAAAAAATAGTGGCAACACTAAATGCAGCAAAGGCAGGGCAATTCTGGACAACTCACATTGCTGCTATATGTTTTAAGCCTCTCTTGTTAACTTTTGGCAGGTTTTTAAAATACTAAATATGCAAACATGTTACGACCAAGAATTATAATCAAATAGGTGTTTGTTTGATAGAAATGAAAATTTACATTCACACAAATATCTGTAAATGAATAGTCCTAACAGGTTTCTTCATGATAGCTCAAAAACCATCTGAATATCCTTCATAGTAAAACTATCTGTACTATGTCTATAACATGGAATATTGCTGAGAAATAAAAGAAAATTAACTACAGAAACACAACAATCTAGATGAATCTTCAGGCAATTATTCTGAGTTTAAAATACCCATTCCAAAAGATTAAAAACTGTATGCTTCCATTTATTTATATAATATGATTGAAATGACAAAAATATATCAATAGATAACAGATTAATTTTTGCCAAGGTTTAAAGATAAAATTAGATGTAACTATTGTAGAACTAAGAGGATTTATTTTGGTAAAGGAAATTTTGTGTATCTTGGTTGCATAAATATCAACATTCTGGTGATGATATTGTCCTATCATTTTGAAATATAATAACTTTGAGATAATCTAGACAAAGGGCACATGGAATAGCTCTCCATTATTTGTTAAAACTGACACATGAAGCTACAATTATCTCAAAAGAAAAAGATTGACAAACAAAAACAAAAAAGTATATAAATTATTTCAAATATATGTTTCATTGTTGTTTCTGTTTTCCTAAATGCATTATGAAATAATCTTCTAGGCATCTTGGGCTTTACAAAAATGAGAGGTATTCTTTCTGCTCTCAAGAAATTTCCAATCCCCTGAGGGCAGTGATGTAGTAACAACAAAAATAGTAAATACAATGTAAACTTGAATATTGCTTTATAATATGTATCACATGTTCTTAAATAGCACATTCCATACTTACAGTTACAGTTAAGGTGAAACTACATACAAAGAATTTGAGACCCAGAGATAATAAGTAATCTACCCAAGTTCCCATAGCTTACACAAATTTGATTCCTGGGATAATTTACTTCTGATAAACTAGTTCATATTGTACATGCACAATTCTTTTTTGTAGATATCATTAACCAATTTTCATTAAATTTCAAAAGGAAAAGTGATTGCCTACACTGTCAATAAAGTATTTAGATCTGACTTAGATTTATCTGGCTTCTAATCCTATATTATTTTTACTACATGCTTGCTCCCACATTAAAAACTATGGGTTAAGTAGATATACCATCGTTAACCATTTCCTTTTTGTGAGGACAGTTCACTGTTTTCCTATTTCTTCTTACAAATAAATATCAACCACAATAAATATAGTATAAATTACATGAATGTATTTTTGCTTTCTGTTATTCTTTTTGCTAACTTACTTTACAATCAAATTTTTCTTTTCACTTTTTGCTTAGATTTCTTATTCAGTTTTACTTTTTCAGTAATTAGGGATTTTTTTTTTCTACCAAACAAACTTGTCAGTTCCACCAATTTTTCTATTATTCATTTAATTTGACTCTACAATAGCATGTCTTCAACTTCTAGTAATATATAATTAACGTAGGAAACTCAAGTTGTGGACAATTGTCAAACCAGAGTTGTATTTGGACATTTAAAAGTCTTTAACGGCTGATTTAAAGGATTTCCTTTTGATTGTTGGGTGTTCTAGCCCATTCTCATAGATACATAAAAATGTGCTTTTTACTTTATGTTTTGATAAGTTTAATGAAGTACACTGTTCTCAGGGGAATAAACAGTACATGAGAAATATCTGTAAGTTACTGGATTTAAATGATATTGTGAGTGTTCCTTATAACATGCATTACAAATAATTTAGGCAACCAATCCATTCGTAACTTTATTTTTGCATCGTTATTTTGTTTGGGCAGTATTGGTGGCCAAGGACAGAGACGTACTCATGCCAGCTCTGATAAAGTGAGTTTACTTTAACAATATGCATAGAAAAGTAAGGAAAATTTTTATAAAATTTTAAAAAGAAACGTACAAACTGTACTATTTATAAATCCTAACACTAGAGCTCAGTTCTGCAATAAGGGCATATCTAGGTAAAAGCAGTAGTAGAAGTTTGAGACCTTCGTAGGACCTGACCATTAAGGTCTCTGAGCTACAATTCATGTGTCTCCTTCCTATTTCATTACAGCCACCCACTTTGTAAATATCAGTACTAGGTCATAGATTTATAAAGAGTTTATGAATATTGAGTTCTAATGAGTCAAGAGATCACATAACTCAGATTTAAAAACAGTGGCAAGGGAGATACATTACTTTTAAATGGCTTTCTGTGCCACACATATCTTTAGCTTCGATTATAATAGCCAGTGTCTTTAAAGAGCTTGATTGGGCAAGAATAGTGACTAACATTTCCAGGACACTTATTTTCAATAATCTTAAATTTTTCAAAGATTTTTTCATAGAGAAATTTCCCCATTGCATGAAAACATCATCAAATACTCTTTCTATTCTTAAAGAAAAAATTGAATCTCAAAGAAGTTAAAGATGTTACCATAACTTCATCTTTTAAAATAGTAAAGTTATAGGATTACAATCTACGTCCAGTTATAAGTCCCAGGCTTTTTCTGTTGCATCACAGTATCTCCATTAATGTTGCCTTAAAATAAGCAAGACATTATATATTTCTTTACTGAATAAGGAAATGGAAACATAAGTAAATAAAATAATTTGTAGAAGCAACAAAAGGAATAAGTGAAAAAACTACAACCTTTTTCTTTAGTTCAAGTCTCTGAATTACCATTAATAATTAAAGCAAATCTTTTGCGAACAGCATAGATTTAGTGCCTGATTTTTTCACATTGTCTGGCAATTTCTACCTTTCAAATGGAATGTAGAGTCCATTTACATTTAAAGTAAGTATTCTTATTTTTGAATTAATTCTATCATCATCCTAATTGTTTCTTTTGGGATCATCTGCTCTTTATTCTTCACCTGTGTTTATAAAGTTACTTAAGTATTTTACAAAATTATTCTATCACTTCTGTTGATTGCTTGTCTATACTTTGTGTATTGCTATTGATTTTTTCAAGGATTTTAATATGCATTTTTATGTTTTTACAGTCTATCTTGAATTAATAATATTTCACTTCACAAAAATGTAAGAATCTTAGATAATTCTAATCCAACTTAAAAACTATTCAATTTTGGGGCTATTTTTATCATATATTTTATTTGCTAATAACCTTTAAACTCCACAGTAAAACTATTTTGCTTTAAACATCCAACTGATGTTTAAAGAACTTATGAAAAATTATATTTATACATATCCACAAATCACTGTTATTAAGGCTTTGTATTCCTACCACATATCCATAAGGTAATTATTTTCTCACACTTGAAAAATGTACCCTAACATTTTTGTCAGCAAAAGCTTCAAATAAATTATCTAAACCTGTGGTTTATATTAACAGGCCTTTAGCGTGATTCTGCTGTTCTACTACGTTAACAGCTTGTCTTGCTCTTGTATACTTTTCTAAAGGTGTTTTTCCATTGTCTTCAGGCTCCTATTGTTTTCACTTGGACTTTGATTCTCGTTTGCATTTTAATGCTGCTGTTGTATTATTTGTTTTTCTCTGACTGCTTTTAAGAATTATTTTTTATCCTTGTATTTGAGCAATTTTACTATAATTTACCTCAGGGTGTGTGTGTGTGTGTGTGTGTGTGTGTGTGTGTATTCTCTATTTATCCTACTTTTGAGTTGACTCTTCTAATCAACATTTGAAGACATTAAAGAATATTTTTGAAATTTTTTTCAGTCCAAATTTCTCCCTACTCTGTCCTTCCGAGACGGCAGTTACATGTATATCTAACCACTAAAAAATGGTCACTGAATCTCTGAATGTAATTAAATTCACTGAATTATTGAATCTATTTTTATTATATTTATCTTACATATGTGCTTCAGTTTGAATTATTCCTATATTTATTTTTCTTCAAATTTTCTGAATCTTTTTTTAATCCAAATTGCCATTTATTTGAGTCATTTGTATATTTCATTTTTCAATTGTAAGCACTGATTTTAGTATTTTATTTAACATAGTTGCCAGGCACCTCCTAAAATCACTCATCTTTTTTTTTCCCAAGCATATCAGTCCTTCCTATTACTTTTTTGAATATTTAACATAGCTGGTTCAAAGGCATTATCTATTAATTCCAACATGCAGTTTATCTGTAGTTTTTTTTTTTTTTATTATCAATTGGTCTTTCTGTTGACCTAATTTATCTTTCCCTGATGCTATACATGTCTAGCAAATGCTGTTGTATTTTAGACATTGTGTATAGTATATAAATTCTGAACATTTTATTGATCTTCAAGCATGTTATTTTTTCCTCTCAGGTACTTACATTACTAAGATTACATTTCTATTTCAAAATGTAGATTTTACAAATTTTTAGGACAGGCTAACTGTGGTTTTGTTCTTAGTTCTGGTAAAATTTCTTAGTCTATGGAATTAGTCTTTATTACTGCAGTTGGCCTATCTAGGATAGCAACAGAAAGCTGAAAGTATTTACTGAACCTCTAGCATGAAAGGAATCAAATAGCAAATTGTATCCTATAGCATTAGCCACTAGCAAATACCTCTGCTCACCTTTTTCAGTTAGAGAGCTCTGCTTTTGCTCGGAAATCTCCAAAGTCTCATTTCATGTATGGGTGAACTAACAGACAGTCGAGTTTTAAATACACTTTGAGCAAAGATATTGGGGGTATTTTATCACTATGGGGAGCCCCAAAATCTAACTTATCTCTAATTCCTCAGGTAAAAAGGATTATAGCTTTCTAAGTGAGTTTAATTTGTTGCTGGAAAGAAACAGTTCCTTCAGCAGAAAAACGGTATAAACATAAATCTCACCTTGTAGGAGTAAAAATCTTGCTTTCTAGGGTCAAAATCTTTCCAGTTTTGGTTTGCCTTTGATATCATTAAAATGCTTTGAAATCATAATAATAAGAGAATGAATTAAGTTATTTCCAACAGTAGCAATGTTTTATTATGTTAAATTTACACAGGTATTGCATTTGATTTATATAAGTTTTTCCAGTATTTTTTCATTTTTATATGCACAAGGGTTACTCTAATATAACCCATTTTGCATTTACCAGAAGTTAGAAACCTTTTAATTCTTAATTTATGTTCTTGGCTTCTTTTGGTTGAGGATATTTAATCATTTTTATCCTTCCATTTATAATGCGATATCTTTAGGCTATTACAGCTGTCCAAAGGTAAGCATATCCATGAAAAGGGAGAGAAGCCAAGAACTAAGATCATTCTCAAGCTAATAATATGCCCTTGAAAAAAAACAACTGAAGGTTGAATACAGTTAAGTGTCCTTCCCTGAAATCCAGAAACTTGTTTTCCCTTTATCGATACAACATTCTTGCTTTGGCGATAGTTTATAAGACCCATTATTTAAAAAAAAAAAAAAAAAAGAAAAAGAAAAAGAAAGAAAAAGACATTGAATTTTATTCAAAAGGAAAAAAAGAAAAGTTTTTGAGAGATTTAAACATTTGAATATTGTGGTCCGAACTGAAAAGTCATATGAAAAGGGAGAAGTAAGAAAACAGTAAAAGAAAAAAAAAAAAAAAAAAACCCTGGAATGATGGCTATTTTAAATTTGGGAAACCAAGGTAAAATTTTTGTTTTGTTGGCCTGGAGGATATTGACTTTGAGGAGAAAATTTCTTCCTCATAACTTGAAAGACTCTTCAACATTACTTCAAGAATATCTCCTTATATGATCACTTCCTGTCACTGTTTAGATTTCCTACTGAAAATGAATTACCTTCCCAGGGCACTGAACGCATCCTAGCCAAGTGGGTTGCATCCAAATATGATGTTTGTTATCCACCTCTCTGATTCTGTCAGGCAAGTGCCTCTTTAGATAGAAAGAGCTACATTTTGTTTTAAAAATAATCCATGAATGAAATCCTTTCAAATTAATTGATCTTAAGATCAATCAGAGAAAAATTTGCACATGCTCTGTATAATCCAATATTCTGGAAGGAATTTGGCTCATGGTTTCATAACTTACTAAATATAATCTAAATAAGAAAATGCTTTGGTATAATCAAAGGAATATAAATAAAAGTAATAGCTAGGTGAAATGCCAAAAATTTTATTTCAAAACAAAGAAATATGAAAGAGATTTATCATGAGGAAATACCATATGATAAATTGTTTAAATTCACTAGTGTTTGGTATACTGACTTACAGAATAATCAAATTTGTAGTCTTAAAAAACAGGCCAGTCTTTAGATAACGATTAAATAGGTACTACATTTTTCAGAAATATTCTCTTTTAATGTAAATGGGGGGGACTTCCACCAAGATGGCTGTATAGGAACGGTTCCGGTCTGCAGCTCCTAGTGAGAGCACATCAGAAAATGAGTGATCTCTGCATTTCCAACTGAGTTACCAGGTTCATCTCATAGGGACTGGTTAGACAGTGGGAGCAGTCCAAGGACAATCCAATTCACAGTGAGGCATTGCCTTGCCAGGGAGGCACAAGGGGCCAGAGAACTCTCTCTCCCAGCTGAAGGAAGCTATTATGGATTTTTCTGGACACTCTGGCATTCCGACTCAGCTACTGCACTTATCCCACAGTCTACACAACTCCCAGACCAGGAGATTCCCTCCAGCACCTACAATACCAGCACAGGGGTTTTCAGCATGAACTGTGCAGCCATTTTAGTCGAGTGGCACATGGAACACCAGTGAGACAGAACTGCTCATTCCCACTGAAACAGGGGGCTGACGCCAGGGAGCCAGGCAAGCTGGCTTGGCGGTCCCCACCCCCACAAAGACCAGCAAGCTAAAATCCATTGGCTTGAAATTCTTGCAGCCAGCACAGCAGCTTGAGCTCGCCCTGGGAATTTTGAGCTTGGCTGGGGAAGGTGCACCCACCATAGCTGAGGCTCAGGTAAGAGGTTTCAACATTGCCTGTGTAAACAAAGCTACCAGGAAGATTACACAGCATCTGGGTGGAGCCCAGCACAGCAGCTCAGCAAAGCCTCTGCAGGCAGACTGACAAGTAGATTCCCTTTTTGCTGGGCAGGGAATCTCAGAAAAAAAGAGACGGCAGCCCATCAGGGACTTACAAAGTCCCCACCTTCCTGGGACAGAGCACCTGGGAAAAGGGGTGGTTGCGGGTTTGGCTTCAGCAGACTTAAACGTTCCTGTCTGGCAGCCCTTAAGGGAGCAATGGATCCCCAAGCACAGTGCTTCAGCTCCATTAAGGAACAGGCTGCCTCCTCAAGTGGCTCCCTGACTCCCCATGTAACCTAACTAGGAGACACATCATACAGGAGAGCTCTGGCTGACATCTGGCAGGCAACTTTTGGGGACAAAGCTACCAGAGGAAAAAATAGGCAGAAATCTTTGCTGTTCTGCAGCACTGCAGGTGATCCCCAGGCAAGCAAGATCTGGAGTTGACCTCCAGCAAATTCCAGCAGACCTGCAGCAGAGGGGCCTGTTAGAAGAAAAATTAACAAACAGAAAGAAATAGCTTTGACATCAACAGAAAGGACGTCCACTCAGAAACCCCATCAAAAAGTCACCAACTTCAAAGACCAAAGGTAGATAAATCCATGAAGATGGGAAAGAACCATTGTAAAAAGGCTGAAATAGCTGAAAGCCATAACATCTCTTCTCCTTTAAGGGATCACAACCCCTCAGCAGCAAAGGAACAAAACTGGATGGAGAATAAATGTAATGAACTGACAGGAAGAGGCTTCAGAAAGTGGGTAATAACAAACTTCTCTGAATTAAAGGAGCATCTTCTAACCCAATGCAAGGAAACTAAGATGCTTGAAAAAAGGTTAGACCAAATGCTAACAAGAATAACCAGTGTGGAAAAGAATATGAAAGACATGATGGAGTTAAAAAATACAGCATAAGAACTTCTTGAATCATATACAAGTTTCAATAGCCAAATCGATTAAGCAGAGGAAAGACTTTCAGAGATAAAAAATCAACTCAATGAAATAGAGTGAGAAGGTAAGATTAGAGAAAAAAGAGTGAAAAAAAATGAACAAAGCCACCAATAAATATGGGATTATGTGAAGAGACCAAATCTACATTTGGTTAGTGTATCTGAAAGTGATGTGGAGAACAAAATCAAGTTGGAAAGCACTCTTCAGTATATAATCCAGGAGAACTTCCCAAACCTAGCAAGGTAGGCCAACTTTCAAGTCCAGGAAATACAGAGAACACCACAAAGATATTCCTCAAGAAGAGCAACCGCAAGGCACATAATTGTCAGATTCACCAGGGTTGAAATGAAAGAAAAAATGCTAAGGGCAGCCAGAGAGAAAGGTCGGGTTACCCACAAAGGGAAGCCCATCAGACTTACAGTGGATCTCTCAGCAGAAACCCTAAAAGCCAGAAGAGAGTGGGGGCCAATATTCAGCACTCTAAAAGAAAAAAAATTTCAACCCAGAATTTCATATCCAGCCAAACTAAGTTTCATAAGCAAAGGAGAAATGCAATCCTTTACAGACAAGCAACTGCTAAGAGATTTTGTCTTAGCAGGCCTGCCCTACAAGAGCTCCTGAAGGAAGCGCTAAACATGGAAAAGAACAAGTACCAGCCACTCCAAAAATGTACCAAATGGTAAAGGCCATCAACACTGTGAAGAAACTGCACCAACTAACTGGCAAAACAACCAACTGGCATCAAAACGGCAGGATAAAATTCACACATGACAATATTAACCTTAAGTGTAAATGGGCTAAATGCTCCAATCAAAGTACACAGACTGGCAAATTGGATAAAAAGCCAAGACACATCAGTATGCTGTATTCAGGA